GCGAAAACCTGAACACCGATTGGCGACTCGAGATTCCTTTATTCTTACGCCAATGTGTAACCAACAATAAGGTTATTACACACAGGGTCTAAGAATAAATGTTGTAACAATAAATCACGATAATACTTCTGATAGCTTTCTGTCTTCCACTGAACAGCGACCGATGAGACGATGACTGGTGTATTGATGCCTCCGCAAAAATATAGGGAAGTTGGTTTTGAGCAAACAACCATGAATTGATCGTTCAATCTTCAACTACATTGACAATCCCCGGTCGAAAAGGAATCCATTCCTTTTTTCCATCACGACCAATACACGTTGACTTGGATGCCAGTCCCAGAACCTTGGTCACACGGACAAAGCTGAAATGGAAAACAGACAGCAAAGTCTACATACCACAGGCATACCCACAGCACAATCTCACTCAGCGACAACGACCTACGCCTTCCAGTTAAAGGCATCCTCTTAACATCTTGCAACACAATCGCCGCTTGCTAGAATGACTCTCACAGAATGCAACGTGAACATGGCAGCACATCATGATACTCTTCTCACATCCTCTTATCTATTCACTATCAATTACCACTGCGATCGCTTGTTACTCGTTCTGCCTCAGTTCTAGTAACTGTGACGTATGGAAGCGGCAGTTGTCGACATTCTCGCTCCCCGGCGTGTGGGACCACAGCCAACAATTATCTCCGTGTGCACGTCATTCTCAGCAATAGCCTCCCCAGCGTATACGACCCATCTGTTGTCTTTAACATCAATCAATTCATTCACGGATGTAGAAGACTAGAAACAACTTCAGAAGTAATCACGACGAAAATTTTAACAAAATTATGCAATAACAACAAGATACGAAACAACGATTAAACACAGTGAATCCAAAAAACACCAATTGATATGAAACATCACACATATATACAAGCAGTACGCATAACCTCTCAGATCACGTCTCGATGGAATTCCTTTGATGAATCGCAGGATTTACACCTGTGCGCCTGCAACCCTTCTCAGGTTGATGATACAATTGGGAGACGTCCGGACACAAACAGAATTATCAACAGATAGTTGAGAGATGACACCAATTCAGTATACACAACATGAACATATGTACAAAATAACACACCAAGTACGATGTGCTTAGTTTCGACGTAGTACCCTTGAAGAATTGTAGGACTTACAGAAGTACGCCTGCAATCCTTCCCAGGTTGACGTCCCCGGTTGGAAAATCGTCGTAGAGTTCATTCGCTAACCTCCTTCCATCGTACATATCCTCAACTCTGAACGGTGACACGCCCATGTCATCGTATCGTAGAATATAGATGACTAACAAACATACGACGTATCTGACCAACCAAGCGTAGGTACGGAGTAATTTGCACCAAAGATAATAACATTCAAATAGTAAATAATAAATCAATGAATCAATAATTTACGCAACTCAGTTTAACCACTACACTCTCATACACATTTGGCTTACCCCCATTAAGCTGACCAATATCTTTCGTCTTTTCAAATGCACCGATACTAGCACAGTCATAGCATAAGACACCTGAGTTCATGGACGTCCCTTTCATTGTGGATGACAACACCAACGACGACTGAGTGACACAAGTTGATGAACTTGGTGTTGCGTCAGAAGCTGTTGTTGCTCGACTTTTAGAGGGTTGTCTAACTGCAAGATTACCAACACTGCTATCTTTTATTATAAGCTGCAGTTCCGCATTAACATCTGTTGATAGGTGGGCTACACTCTGATCATTTAAACTGACGGTCTCACAAGTACCAATGCCTTCTGCAACTGCATCTGCTCTTAATTCTACTTCACGTTCAAGTTGTACAGACCCTTTGTTCAACTCAGCAGTAGCATGCATTCCCCTCATCTCATCTTGATCAACCAAAGACAAAAGTGCACTACCATGATCATTATCACAAACATTCACTTTACCGTCATCTATCTGGTCGACTTCATCATTTTAAAACTCTTTAATAACATCAGTGGACAATTTGAGTTCTTCCTCACAAATCCTTAAAGGTTTTATACCTTTACTCTGACTAATAATACCTTGTAAACTTGTGGAGTCAGAACCGGATTCTGAAACTGTAACTCCCTTCTCCTGCACAAACTGTGGTGTCGTCTGTGACACTCTATTCAACAATGGCAACTACAGGCTTCTTGATCGCACCATTATCGTCACACAATTCGGAGTCAGAAATTGATTTCACATTTAGCTTACCACTAAGCTTGGTCAGTTCTTCACAGTTCGCCTTTGCATGCATTTCTTGCAAACGTGTAAAACACAACTGTGTTTGTCTCGCAACTTGTAACCTATCCGTTGGGGATGTCCCACGGAGGCTGTTACACTCACTAAGTTTATGTGGATTACTAGACACCATGAAGCTTTCTCGATATCCACTTCTGTGAGACCCTTTCGTCGTAAATGATTGCGTTTTGCTCTCAGACTGCTCTATTCTAGGGGTGGGATGCAATATACTGGCAAACTTGCCCATAGATTGATTCACACTATCTTTTACCAGTTTCAGAATATCATCAAACTTTGTCTCAATACCTTCATCCTCTATACGAGAGCTTATCTTCACCCACCTCCTTTGCAGTCGAGTAGGTAGGCGTCTCGCTATTACCTCTAGGACTGGACCTGAGTTCAGATTGCCCATGCAATTCATAGAAGTCAACGTTTTCTTGTAAGTCATCAGATTATCCAAAAACTCAGAGAGTGCCTTGGAGTCATCTTGTAATTGACCACCATTACCCTTAACAGCCTCGAATAATCGAAGGTCTTCCAAACCTTTGACGCAGTATACTCACAGCCTCAGAGTACCCTTCGTTTGACTTCATAAACTTACAGCACTGAACGGCTCTTGAAGCAACTCCAGTACAGTACCTCAACAAATACATCAACTTCATTTCATCATTTAATAAAAAACCCTCAACGTGACTTCAAACTCCTTTACAAACTGCGGATAGTCGGTTGGGTTTCCATGAAAGTACCGCGGCTCCAATTTAAGTAAATTTAAATCCTTATTATCCCTAGCTGTCGAACCATGAACAACAGACTCATCATGCTGAGCATCATACATATCATCACAAGTGACAGGCAACTCAACGTTACTTACTTACCTATCTGCTTCCAAGACGATTCGTCCCTTCTTTGGCTCAGGCATCACCGAACTTGCCCGAAAATTCCAGAAAAGTTCCGGATAATACTTGTCCAAAGAAGACTTGCAGGCACCAGGACAGATGAACAGAAACTATCGGAAACTGTCAGCCAACTCTCACAAACTGTCAATGTCCAGCTCTTACTACGCTGGACCTCACACTGTCCCTGAAAGACTTTCAGGAACACTTTGTAATAAAAACGCGAAAACCTGAACACCGATTGGCGACTCGAGATTCCTTTATTCTTACGCCAATGTGTAACCAACAATAAGGTTATTACACACAGGGTCTAAGAATAAATGTTGTAACAATAAATCACGATAATACTTCTGATAGCTTTCTGTCTTCCACTGAACAGCGACCGATGAGACGATGACTGGTGTATTGATGCCTCCGCAAAAATATAGGGAAGTTGGTTTTGAGCAAACAACCATGAATCGATCGTTCAATCCCCACGTACATCGACAGTATCCTTTCCGATAATTCAGTTCTGCCGCCTCGGAAATATTCCTAATAATCTTCATTTACATTGCTGGTGCTGTAAGAAACTCGAATTATCGAGTGATATCAATAGAATTACAGATGCCTAAATTATAATAGGCTGAAAATTATAGTGGAGAAACGAGTGCCGAATAAAATAAAGGGGATTTCCAAAAGAAACTGAGGATCATTCTAATCTTGATGGCCAAGTTGGGGAAAGTGTTTGAATTTGAATAATACTTACAAATGGTATCTTCCTGCATAAATAGAGGTAAATATATTGGTATTAGAGAGCGGTGACAAAATATTAACCGAGCCTCGGCTACTTTCTAAGATGATTATATTTCTGTAAACACGTGTTTTTAGAACTTCATTCCATAACTTTCAAAGATTATTTTTATACAAAAAGCGTCATTTTTCTGCATTCATAAAGGGTGTAAAAAACTGTCTACAAGAGCACCTCCTGAAGCATGCCACCCGACGCCCAGTTTTCACTCGGTGAAACTGACAAAAGACTGGAAGAAATGCGATCACTTTAGTGTTACTGAGAGTTTGGAAACTGTAGAGGAAGTACTGGTCGGTAGAATTCCGCGAAGATGAAAGCAATTCTTTTTATGAGATTTGAGGTGACTGGGGTGAAAATTAACTGAATACCTCCGAAACGCCTGTTGCAAATGACCAGAGACTGATATATGGAATTCTGTTGTTGATGAACTTTAACAGGACTTTTTATTTGGTCTCGTGTCATGCTGCCCTTGATGAAGCCTCTAAGAAGAACACCAGTTACCTAAAACAACCATAGATTGGTGGTCGCGCCAACGAGAAGGTTTTTCTATTGAGACTGTATGCAGTGGAAAGCTAACCCAGGATCACTTCTATTACTGCTCATGGAATTGTCATGGAATTAATTTCACGTTTATCCACAGGCAGGTCGAAACTACAACACAAGGTGAGTTTAACAAAATCGAATTAGACAAATGTTAATAGCTGTCACCGATTCATGATGGGTCATACAGGTACTAGATGTTATATGGAAGGTGACTCATTGCTTATGTGCAATAGTCTAATTTTTTGTGAAAGCCGTTTTTAATGGAAAGCAGGGTTGAAGTGAATAATATTAACAGTGTGTTCATAGTACTAAAATGTGGGAGCTCTTTTCAGAAAGTAACCAATAAAACAATCGGGCGGGCTTTAGGAATTGGTTGTTTTCGGCTGTTCCGTCATTTAACAATCGGTGCAATTTTCACTGCAGTTGCTGGGATCACTTTAGCGGTAAAAAGTCACTGAGTCTTGACGGAGTGTTTCTGCTGCCTGATTTGTTTCAGTGATTGATTTTCCAATGGTCTTAGCTCAGCGTCAAAAAGAGGAGCTGTAAGTTTCTGAAATATCTCATTTCAGTATATAGAAATAGAGCTATCGCTGACTACTTATTTTCAAATGGATATAACAAGGCGTTAGATGCCTTTAGGGAAGAATCGCATTTGGTAAGTACATAAATTATGTACTTGTTAACAGTTTATATTAACTTTAGGCAGGAGAAAATGATAAGAAGTATGATGGCCTGTTGGAAAAAAAGTGGACGTCTGTCATACGTCTTCAAAAAAAGGTCAGTTGGTGTATTCCTTAGTTTTCCATGTTATATCAGGCGAATTTATAGTTAGCTGTTTATTACTTGAGCTTGAGTGTCAGGAATAGGAGATCAAGTAGAAAGTTCCAAGATAACAACTGATTAATAATCAGAATGTTCGAAAATTCTGAACTAAATCTTGTTGTATGTAGTGATTAAATTCTAAAGTGACTTTGAATTGTACTGTGCATTTAACATATGATATTGTTGTAGATGTCCTTTAAGACTGAAGGTTAATGATGTGCCACAAATCTTAAAATAATTCTCATTGGTTACTCAAGTTACTACGTAAAAGCTATGAAAATAACAAGTCTCGTGAGGTTTTCTCCTATATCTTGTTATCTTCGTCTTTGGCATATGTATATGGTGAATTTTTTCTTCCTTCACGTTCCCAGTGGAACATAGGGCCTCAAGCTAGTGGCTTGAAGTTTCCGTAGCAGTGTTTAATTTTACAGGGTGGGGTTGCTAGCCTCATGCCCAACCTCTCCTCTTTACCAGCATTATTTATGGCTTAGCGCGGTAAAGGAGTTCGTCGGCCGGGGATCGAACTCCGGACCATGTGCATGGTCGGCAAGCGTCCTAACCGCTGTGCCGCCAACGCCATATGGTGAATTATGGGAAATTATTGTTCGGTTCATACATTGTTTTTCAAAAAAAATTGATTGGAAACATTTGGTTACGTACTTTGCTTCCCTAGGCGTTTCGAATATCAGCTGTCTTTAAGTATCACAACAGAGCGGTGACTGCAATATCAGTTATCACAACTCGCTGGAGTATGTATTTGACAGCTAATGTACTGTTGTTTGGAAGCACTAACTGGTCTATTCCTTTCAAGGCTCTGGAAATCTGTTTTCATTTCAGTGTGCATGAAAATGTGTGAAGATTTCTTCATAGTATTTTGATTACTTGTTACATTATACATGTTAGTTTGATAAGTGTAATATAGATGGAAATGTTATCATTCTAAGGCAAATGATTGGCTACTTCACTTAGCACAAACTCTTTGTTTTTTGATAGGTTTTGCTCAGGAAAGCCTTCTGAACACTTCTCGGTACACGGGTAATTTCATTCCTGACGGAATTAGTTTTAGCAAATGCAGTGGCCTCCGTCTATTACGAGTCATCTGTAGCGTATGTCATTAGTCTGGCAGCGTCCCTCCTTTTATGGACAGGAATATTTTCGCTTGTAAACGTAAAGTTGAATACGAATAGTGAAGACTGCAAATGACGATCAGATATATTTTGTATTTCGCTTGTAACATACAGGAATATTCAACCCCATTCCACTTGAACATAATATGTTCAAGTCCTTTGTATGCCTCTTTGAAATCAATCACATAAAACCTCTATAAGATTTACATAGTATTTTGTGTCAGAAGACCCGTTTAGGTAAAGATGCATTGAAGATTTGTTCACTTTCTTCCAGTTGATTAAACACATTCGAGAGGTTAACAGTACTGTTCCTTGATATCCGGGCTACTTTTCTGTCCGTTAAATAGGATTGTCTGTCTGTCTGTCTGTTTTCGACATAGAACTTTGCACAAATGTGCGGAAGTTCAAGTCGCCACACCGTGTAGCACGCGAAGCAAGAGAAGAAATTACAAGAAAAGCATAATAGAGACAGTGAGCAGAGGTGTGAGACAAAGCAAGAGTAATAACGAAGAACAAACAGTTTCATTGGAGATCATAAGTCACAAGGAGTGGATGCATCTGCGCCAGCCACTGAGAACGATTTTGAGCCATGTCACCAATTGTTTCCAACCATTTGTTTTTACCGTCCCGATGACCCCAGCCTGGAAGTCTACACCTTCCTACGTGGCTTAGACTAATTGTTGTAGATTTCATTGACTGGTGCCATGTTTTTGTTTGACCGCCACTAGCTCTTTTCCAGCCTGACCCTGTATCCGCTAACATTGCTCGTCGAGGAAGGCGATGACTAGGCATACGTAGCACACGTCCTAACCATCTCAGTCTTTGTAACTTCACAACTTCGTCGATTGATTTCCCCTGTTTACCTAGAACTCGACGCCTAAACTCAAATTGCTCTCCTTATTATGCCACTTTACACGGGAAATAGAACGCAGGCACCTATGATCAAAGACAGCTAGTCTTTTCATGTCTTCCACTCTCAGTGGCCAGGTCTCACAACTATAAAGGAGGACGGAGCGGACTGATGAGCAGTACACTCGCCCTTTGGTCGATAGTCGAACATCTCGTCTACGCCAGAGACGGCGTAAACTGGCAAATGCTAAACGAGCCCCCTGTATTCGTGCTGAGATTTCGTCAGACATCAACCCGTTGGCACTGGCTGATGGTACTTCCCAAATAAGTGAAGCGGTCAACGTGCTCTACTACTTCACTTCCTATTTTTAAACTAGGCGTCGATGTAGTCCAGTCAGTCCTGTAACATCATCTTGCATTTGGCGGGAGCGAATCGCATGCCAAACATTCGTAGATTGCGGCTCAAGGTGTTTAGAAGACTCTTGGTCTTTAAAATTGCTTTTCCTAGACGTTACAGGGAAGTTCCATGCGTGACCACTCCGAACACCAGTGCCGTCATCACTGTTGCAAAACGGTAGCAAGGGGAAATTTTTCCGCCTAATTTTAAGTGCATCACTGAAGAATTTCTGGAGGTAGTTATGATGGTGTCAGGTAGTTATCTGTAATGTATGCACTTTTTGGCAACATTTTATGGTTGCTTTTTGGTTTTGACTTTTTCAATAAGTGGTTCCATCTTGCCATATCAACCTGTCTCGTAACTGTGTTACAAATGTCGCTGAACCAGCTGTCGTCCTGGTTGCGTCTGGTTGTAAGTAGGTGAGAAACAGTTAGCTCATAATGTGGCAGCATGAGGTGAAGGGTAGTCATGTTAGATTGACTAGCATCTGCAGGTGAATTGTAACTGTGAATATAGTTTCAGAGGTCATGCTTTTCAGTAGCTCATCTTAATAACCGATATGTCTCACAGTCAGAACTATTGGTGACCATATTGTTTCTTCCACTATCAAAAGTAATGTATGATGATGAGCACATGATTGATTTTGCTTAATACTTATCTTTTGACGTTGAAGTCATTCTGTTATCTTTCCCTCTTGTGTCATATTCTGTAAATTAATCTTTGGTGTCTATTGTAGGGATTTTATTCATAATAAATGATACACAATTGGCAGTTTTCCGAAAATCGAGCTAGAGCAGTGTAAATTGTGACTGTTAACTTTTGTAGGAGACGCAGGTAAAAGAGTAGCAGATAATATTAATGGTTTGTGGTAGTGAGTGGTTGACAGTTACTTATCTATTTGTTCAAACTGCCACCTGAAACAGATCTTCTATGTATCGGTCCATGGGTCGAGTTACACAGGATGAAGTAGATACAAAGGTATTCGAACCCTTCACATACTGACTGAAAACATTGTTTGGGCCGGCAAACCACATCTCTGCAAGTCTTTAAAGGAAGTGAGCTTAGCTACTCTGTGGCTAAGAAAAATGACGTATTGATCTACAAACGTTAGAATAAATTTTTTATTAGTTTGCTGTCATTTCCCCTGATTCTTTATTTATATTCATCCGGAATATATTAACTTAAGACTTTACATGATTTGAAAAGGTAACAAATCACTGTGAGTTGCCGTAAAAATACTCAGTTACTAGCTATGCTGATGTACTAATATATCAGTCAGGAAAATTTTAGATTCCATGTGTGGTTCGGTTATCCCAATCTTCGATCAGGGGGAATCCTATTCGAATAACCATAGGGTAAGATTGCTGAACTAATAAAGTTTCTAAAATGTTATGTCCCGCAAAAGTTCAATCCTCAGCTGACTTTCAGATGTCCTAACTTGGGGGTAGCTATTTCTAGATGTTGACTCAGTCGATAACCTTTATGACATCTTGAATTATGTTTAAACTTTATTGAAAGTAATTGCATTTCTTTACTTAGAGATAAAATTTCACTTCGTCATTTCGGATGTCCCTTAGCGGGGTAACTAGTCAAAAGGAGCACTCAGTCAGTACATCTTTTTAGTGCAAACTTCTTGTATGGACACCTTGGACTTTTTTCAATCTCATGACTGCTCTGCAGACCAGTGTTTGTTAAGTTAATACTTTAATATGACTTTATCATGCAATTACTTATAGGTGTCAACTGTTTTTTTCAACGAAGTTCCCGACGGCTTCGACATTTGATCATTGTTTGATGAACACCCGCGTATCGTAGAACGATGTTTTTAGCAATGTAAAGATCAAGAATATTTTAATGTTAAGTAAATGCCCCTATAGATGTTTTTATTTCCAGTCACCTTGTTATCTGGTATTTGTGTTTATACGTGCGAGTTTCCTTCTACCCCTTCAGCAGCCATTTGCTTTCACGAGTTATTGTAGTCCTTCCTTTTGATCACTTGACGTAGTGTTTGATTTGTTGCGTAAACCTGCAGTGCTTATCGATAATTTTACTTGAGAGATAATGCCCGGATACAGTTGTTATCTATACTCTCTACACCTCGTTTGGATGATCAATAACACATTTATTGCTTTTGCTACTAATTTCTTGATGTGTGTCATGTTAGTGAAACGAAGTGTGATTAGCTGTCGTCGTATATGATTGATGAACTAGGTTCATTTTTATTGATAATGTGCATTATAATTTGGCATGTTTTTGTTTTGTTTTACAGGTAATGGATCTAGAGGCTAAACTTAACGAAGCTGAAAAAGAGTTTCAACTGATGCAAAGCAGTATCGGATTCGGGATAGCAGGTGCTGCACCTGGAAGTGGACTTGCAGACAGAGGGGATCGGCGTGATGTTGATGCTATCCCTAGGCCTCCAGCTAAATTTACACTCACAGGCCATCGTTCTCCAATAACGCGTGTATTGTTTCATCCTCATTACAACGTTTTTGTTTCAGCAAGTGAAGATGCGTCAATCAAAGTCAGTTTATTCTGTTCTGTCTTTTTGCTAACTGCTACTTGTATACTACTACTAGTTATTGCTAAGTATCATTTTCATTACTATCGATTATTATTATTATCCCCTTGGGTTCCGAGTGGAACATAGGGCTTCTACAACACATTGCCACTTCACTGTCTTCTCTGTTATCCCTTTTAATTTGCTCCACGATTGTCCTGAGTTTTGCTTCCCTCTACACACTGTATCCTCCATGCCACCCTCACTCCCAACTCGTTTCTCATCCCGGTTCCATTTAAAGGATTGAGGTGTGCTGTCATCCGATGGTCTCCTCAGCGTTTCTCTGATCCATTTTCTTCTGTATATTTGTTGGGCGATAGGTTCTTGGTTGGTTCTCTACTGGAATTCTTTATTGCTTATCCTCTCTGGCTATCTCGATCCATCTGATCGAGACTCTTACTTGTAGCAATCTTCATTTTATCGTTCAGAAAAGAAGTACAGTACACATGCTTTTACGAGGCAACCACTAACTTGTATTATCAGAATCCACTTGCTATCTAACATGGTTTTTTTTAACTTTAAGCTGATCTGATTTAAAAGAAAAAGACACGTTGATCGATGTTATCACGATTCATATGTTTAGATTTAGCAAACCGTTTTCATGGTTTGAATACATCCAGTGATGTATTTCTCTTATTTATTAATAGTCATTTTTTCGTTCTCAGTGCACCAAGGTTGTATACGATGCTAAATGTTGGGACACACATTATCTGCTAGTGAATATTATCATGTCCATTCTTTCAGCTTCTAGTATTTTCATTTGTATTCCTAATTCTTGGTCTATGTAGTCTTGTCACTTTGTCAGTCTATCTTTACTAGGTTTTTCTTTATTCCTTCTACCATTGAAATGAACACTAGGATTTATTGGCAGGAGAAATAATTTTCACGAAATTTTGAAGTATTTGTAAACATTTTTTCCTGATGACCACATTTACCTTTCGTGTTGAAACAACTAGATAAATTGTGATGCCAATAGACAAAGATGAGTGAGGATTAGAGAGGTTTCGTGTGCATTTCGGATTGTGAGGGCGATTGTTACTTCCCGGCTGCCCACACCGTGGAAGTTGGTTGCATGACCGCAAAGCCCAGGGGACAACTGCTTGAGGCCGGTCACACGCGGTCTGTTTTTGTTTGTTCTGATTTATTTGGTGTGTCTCAGTAGCATACTTATCACTCCTGCCCTGTGACACGGCAGCAGGAAGCGCGGTCGTTGTTAGTCCGGGCCACGGCCGATCCGGCATGAAATTTTGTGATTTTGTATTGGTCATGATGTTGGATTGGGTAGCTGCTTTTTGTTTAACCGCTTTCCAAACAACCTGCCTGGCATGGTAGGACCTCAAGAGACATAAGTCTCAGCTAGTATAGCTTGAATAGATCATTGCGGTGTTCAAGCCCGACCACCACGTCAAGGTAGCGGCTTTCGGTCGGGAGATGCCAATAATAATCCTTAGAGTATTTCAAACTTTTCATAACAGTCTTCTCTCAAATTCCTCATAGGTTAATGCGTATTCAGAAGGAACTACACCTGTTTTTTTTAAATAAGAAAAGGTATATCTTTTCAAATTAATTCCTTTGCAATTGATGTCACACGTGTATTTTCTAACCACAAGAATAGTTGTATTAGAATTAAGTAAAACCTGTATAAAATTTTAGCACGAAATATGAAACCAGTTGACTGATGTTTTTTGTTAATCTGATGAAATACTAAACTGTTCGGTGAGGTGATTTAGTGCATTACTCAGTTTATAAAACGCGGAATTTATTCACCGTTCATTATGTCATTGTATTCCACGTATTTTGATGTTTATTAATGGTTAACAGTTTGTCATTCATCAGTGAAGATATGTCGCTTGATGCTTACCTCAAGGTGTACGCTGAAAACAATCTATATTTTATAAGTAGCTAGCTAAGAAATGTTTTGTCACACCTACATTGACTGTTTGATGTGGTTGCGTTCTCTCTGGGCGACTGTTAATTTCCGTATACTAGTAAACAGTTACATTATATATGTCGTTTGTTTTCTAGCGAATTTTTTGATTAATTATATCCTATCACTTTACACCTAAAGGTCTGGGATTACGAAACTGGAGAATTTGAACATACTTTAAAAGGTCATACAGACTCTGTTCAAGATGTAGCATTCGATCCGACAGGGAAGCTCTTAGCTTCTTGTTCTGCTGATATGCAAGTAAAATTATGGGACTTTACAATGTATCAGTGCATTAAAACACTATCTGGTCATGACCATAATGTTTCCAGTGTTGCTTTTCTGCCATCTGGTGATTTCTTGGTCAGTGCTAGTCGCGATAAGACAATCAAGATGTGGGAAGTTTCTACAGGGTAGGTTAACTATCAGGTTACGTGAAATTTCCTTGATGTTTGGTTTGTATGGATATTCCAATTTCGGTTTACATCACAAAAATGAAAATAAGGTATTTCATTGTATTTGTATCGTTTTTAAGTGAAGCTGCACAGTAGATAAGGCTCTGCATTACTAAAGAGTCACACATTTTGATCTGCCATTGAATACATTTCCCATAGATAGTCACAATTAATTGGCTTTAAACATCTACCATCTGCTTAATGTAAACACCAATTAAATATATTCACTTCACTTTTGTTTCTCATAAATGTGGTGTGTTATTAGGCCTCAAATATTGTTAACATTTTGTTATATATATATATATATATAAAGCGATTCCAGTTGCGTATGATTTAATATTTCGAAAAAGTTCTTATATTTCAAATACCGATATTCCGATATCTTTTATGTTTTCTCGCATATTATGCCTATAACAGACAAAAGACAAAAACATTTTAAGTGTTTGCAATTGATCGATTAACGTCTCTAAATTTGTTGCCAGTGTATCTTCAGTGGATATGTTAGTGTGGTAAAACTAACCAGTATATATATATATATATATATATATATATATATACTACATTCTGAATCCATATGATTGCTAAGTGTCCTTTATTTCATTGAGTTTTGAACTGCATCAGCGAATGTCTTATGATCAGTAAATTTACTTTTGGATCACAAGATCTATACGCGATTTCTAAAATTTCTAGTCTTTCTCAGTATATATATATATATATATATATATATATATATATATTGCCGGGAAAACCAATACTTGTGAAAAAACTAGTTCACTTATATTTTCTCCAAAAATCAATCGATTGAATCTCATAGGTCTTCTTCTCTATCATAGCAGAAATGATGATTATCTGATTTGTAGAATTGAATTGGTGGGTGTTATCAAAAAAAGGGAGAATGTGTGTTCCTGTAATAAAATGTTACCGTAAAACTTTATTAATCTTGATAAGTTTTTACCAGCCACAAGGAATTTTTGTAAATAAAGTTTTTGAGGTGGATATTTCTAGGAATTTGTTATCATTTTGAGAAACACTAAAAGGCAAAGAGTGCTTGCTAGACAGCTGTTTCCTTTTAGTTTGAGATTTTTCATAAGTACACACATTAAGTATTGAGTCTATAACACCAAGTTGAATTAAGAGTTGATCGTGTTACCTTTAAGTCACGGTTAACATTTGATTGGCCATGATTTTCAGCTTTCATCGAATCGTCATATAGTGTCACCAGCTATCCAGTGTCATCAATAAAAGTACGTATCCTGATCTAAGCACATTCTCTTATTTTAGACCTTCAGTACAAAACAGTTATCTAATGATTCTTAGTTCTTATGTTGGTTCCATTACTGATAGAAGTGCGTGATGAAACCTGTCAGTTAGTTACATTTGTACAAACTGAACCTTTGATTTTTAAGTTTAGATCGATATGGTTGTCACGTTTTGATGAACCTTATTAATTTTTGTAACGATTAAAGATAATAGGATTCATAAGAATTTGCAATAATGAAGACTTCTATAGGTAATTTTCCTCTCTTGTGTTGTTGAAGCTCTATTTTCCAGTTGGAATCTAAATCAGAAATCATAATAATACTACCTTCTGATATTAGATGGTTAGGGGCGATCGGCCACAGGAAGCCTTCCACCTAGGTTTCGTGCCAGTTTGCATTCACCAGTCAGCAAGGCGTATCTGCAACCTTGAAGGGACTCATGTCCCTCCTGAGATTCGAACCCGAGTCACCCTGCAGTCATACAGGAGGTCAATCGCGAGCCCGAGTAGCTCAGTGGTAACGTCTTTGACTGCAGCTCTCACTGGGTGGCGCGGGTTCGAATCTCAGAAGGGATATGAGTTCATTCAAGGTTACAGGTACGTCTCGCTGACTGGTGAGTGCCAACTAGCACGAAACCTAGGTCGAAGGCTTCTTCCTAATTGCCTCCAATCATCTAATATCATCAAATTAGTGTGCACCGTGATGGCGGGCTACCTAGAATGGTGGCCACATTGCAAACCTGACTGATAGAATTCAGTCTGCACTAAACAAAAGGACTAGACACATCACACTAGTTACTAGTATCCAATCAAAATAATAACTTCTTTTGTAAGGTTTCACTCTTTTCATTTTAATATAAGTATAAAACTTGGGCACTTTTCATTTTAAACATGTACCATAAAAGGCATTTGAAGGTTTAGTGTTTCGCAGTTCTTTCAAATGTCTAATTAGTTTATTAAAAACTGTACTTTCGCAAAAGATTAAATCTGTCTTGAAATGTAATGCCTACGAATGCTCTGAATCAGCTAATGAAGACACGGAGAGTCTATTTCACCCTCCACCAACGAATATTCATGTTGAGTAATTGTGATTTGACGCAGAACATGTTCGGTTGGAAGGTGCAAGTTCTGAGGAACATGAAACAACACTTTAAAGTGGGCCTTTTTTAATGTAAAACTGTTTATTCCATAATTCCACTGCCATCCGTACAATTGCTTTCATACACAAAATTTCAACAACACATTCAATCGTTACCGGGAATCTGTTGCTTAACGTCGAACCAATACTAGAAGGGGTTCTGTTCGATACCTTGATAGCAGATACAAGTAGTAGTTTTCTCAATTCTTTGAGAAGAATGATGAAGTCTGCTTAAAAACATTTTAGACTTTACTGTACTAGTTGTCTACTTGGATAAACCACTGGGAAAAATTTAAGAATATGAAACAATATATCCCTAGAATTAGCAAGTTTATTCATTTATTAGTTTCTAGGCTCTCCTGATTGCATTCAATATACCCTCACACTTGTCTTAATTTTAAGAATGATCTACATAAACAAATTTTGATGCAAGTTAAACGACAGGTATATTAATCTATTGAATACATAACTATTGGCATGAATTGTGCAGCTGTGTGCAGGACTCTAGACTCTGTTTTTTTTGGAAATATCAGGAATTGTTTGTTGAAAATTTTTTTTAGTCCTTACTTCCTATTTTGATATACGCAAGATGAATCCCCTTGAAAATATTTATTCATCAATAAACAAAGCCTGTCAGTGTATACAAGCACAAAGATATCCACAAGGCTACATGGGTGTCACCAGACGGGCAAACCAAAAACCAAATTGACTTCATCTCAATGCTTCTCAAGGAAGTGGAGGCGCAGCCTACTGGACACAAAAGCAAGAAGAGGAGCAGACGTTGGCTCAGACCACTATCTCGTACAAGGGACAAACCAAATCAAATTAAAAGCTTTCAGGGGACCAGGAGCTGCAGACAGACCACAAGCAAAGTTCAACAATCAAAAGCTGAAGGACCAGGCTACAAAGGACATCTTCATTGCAAGCGTAAAGGACAAAGCCGAGACACAAATCAACACCAGCGAAAAGGTCAGCGTCGAAAAGCACTGGGAAAACTTGAAAACGGTGTGGAGCCAAACCTGCATGGAAGTTCTAGGCAGAAAGAAGAGACAGGACAAACAGTGGCTCACTATGGACACTTGGAGACTAATAGAAGAGAGAAGGATGGTGAAACAAAAGATTATCCAGTGCACTGACGAGCAACAAAAACAGGAGTTGAATGCAAGCTACAATACACTGAACAAAAGAGTAAAGAAGAGTGCCAGGGAAGACAAAAGAAAATATTATGAAACCATGGAAAGTGAAGCAGAACAAGCTGCAGGCAAAGGAGACCTCGCCACACTCTACCAAACAACTAGGCACCTATCGGGCAAAAGTTCGACACAGATTAAGCCAATAAAGGACGACAATGGAAAGTCAATCACCAAAGAGGTGGAACAGAGAAAACACTGGGCTGAACACTTCAAAAGACTTCTAAATCGTCCGCCACCTACAACACGCCCAACAATACCAACAACGGAAGCAGAACTACCAGTGAACATTGACCCCCCGACGAAATCAGAAGTCCTGAATGCAATCAAGATGCTAAAAGCTGGGAAAGCACCAGGACCAGATGGAATCCCAGCAGAAGCTTTGAAAATAGACCCAGAGACAACAGCGGACTTGATGACACCACTGCTGGAGAAGGTGTGGAAAGAGGGCAAAGTACCCGAGGATTGGAAGAACAGTTACTTATTCAAACTTCCAAAGAAAGGAGACTTAAGTCAATGTAAAAACTGGCGTGGAATTATGCTTCTGTCCATTCCAAGCAAGATACTAAGTCGCATCATCCTGGAGAGAATCAAACAAGCCCTAGATGAAAAACTTCGTCCGGAACAGGCCGGATTCAGGAGAAACAAATCATGTATTGATCAAATCGCCACTCTACGGATCATCATTGAACAAAGCTTGGAATGGCAGTCACCTCTCTATCTCAACTTCATCGACTTTGAAAAGGCCTTCGACAGCGTCGATCGAGAGGTCATTTGGAAACTACTTCGCTACTACGGGGTCCCATCGACAATTATACATCTCATCCAACAGTTATACGACAATGCTGCATGCCAAGTAATCCACAACGGGAAACTTACGGAAGCCTTCGAAGTGAGGACGGGAGTGAGGCAAGGCTGTCTACTATCACCAATGATCTTCCTGATTGCAATTGATTGGATAATGCGACAGACAACGGCAACCAACGAGGGAACAGGCATAAAATGGACTGACACAAAAGACTTGGAGGATCTGGATTTCGCCGATGATATATGTCTGATTTCCCACAAACTGGAAGATATGCAAGTGAAAAGTAACAAGTTGGCAGAAGAAGCATCAAAGATAGGACTTCAAGTGAACATAGATAAAACAGAGGTGATGAAGATTCCTGGCCAACAGCAACAACAACAGACAACAATCAGCATAAATGGGAGGAACCTGAAAGAAACAACCTCCTTCACCTACCTGGGAAGCATCGTCTCAACTACAGGCGGAACTGACGAGGATATCAAAGCCAGAATCGGAAAAGCAAGACAAGCTTTCATTACTCTCAAGTCTGTGTGGAGGTCAACAGCACTCAGCATCAAAAATAAGATCCGGATTTTCAACTCCAATGTGAAGTCAGTGCTACTTTACGGATCAGAGACTTGGCGAGTCATAAAGAGCATCTCAAACAAACTTCAGACCTTCATTAACAGCTGTCTTCGCTCAATACTCAAGATCAGATGGCTAGCCAGAAAAGATCAGCAACAGGGATCTCTGGGAGCGAACCAATCAGGAACCGATTTTGAAACAAATAGGCAGGAAGAAATGGAGATGGATTGGCCATACGCTGAGGAAACCATCAAGTGACATCACTAGACAAGCCATCGCTCGAGTGGAACCCGAAAGGGAGGCGGCGAGTTGGTCGTCAGTGCGATGGTGACTTGGAGGAGGTCATGCGAGGAGGAGATGAAAGCATGTGGACAGACCTGGAGCGGGGTGAAAAAGTTGTCAGAAAACAGAAGGCAATGGAGGTGCGCAGCTGAAGCCCTATGTTCCTCTAGGAACTAAAGGATACAATAATAATAATAAACAAAGCCTGTCACTTTTAACCTTATCAGTTAAAGAGTGGCACTGTTGTCTCTGTCACACTGTTAAAAAAGAGATGTAGTTATAATTCTTAGAAACGAGATTTTTTTGTTCGAAGGGAGATTCTTTTACTATACTAGACGTAAAAAATTCGTACCAGTGACTTTCATTTTCGTGCTGACTTTGTGTTCATTGAGTTTACATTCCTTATGTTTGATGTGATTTGATCACTATGGTCTGTTTGGAACATTACGTCAACTTTCTGTTTCATGTCGAGGATGAAGAGCTATTCACTTAAGGGTTTGAAATATTTCTTTAGGTATTATTTAATCTGTACGATATTTACTGATTTCGAAAGTATGATATTTACTAAAGTATTTTTGTATTCCTCAATTCTATGTTGTCTCTGTAACAACTATTTGTAGATATTGCATAAAGACATTCACTGGTCATACTGAATGGATTCGATCGGTTCGCCCTAGTCCAGAAGGCAACCTACTGGCAAGTTGTTCTAATGATCAAACTATTCGAGTCTGGTCTGTAGAATCACGAGATTGTCAAGTAATTCTTCGTGGTCACGAACATGTTGTTGAATGCATCGCCTGGGCTTCTCATCCTCAAAGCATATTAGCAATAACTACTTCTACATCTGGAAGTGGAGATTCTGCAGATGCCACCACGGAAGGATTGGTCATGTCCTCAGCAACAAATGGAATATCTAATGATTCACACTCTTCGCCGCCTAGTATGACTGCTGCCTTATTACTTGTTTCTGGATCACGAGACAGGACTATCCGCTTTTGGGATGTAAATACTGGAGTGTGCTTATTTGTTCTTGTAAGTTGGAATAGCATCATGCTTTACTATCCTAACTTTACTGTTTTATCCCGTTAGAATATATATACTGTTTTATAATTATTCTGTTGCGAACAACAGTGTACAGTTTCCGTCAACTTTGAAATTACGTGTCAGAATTAAAGAAGTGTTTTGCTATGAAAAACATTATTTCTCGAGGTTTTACAACTCGTAGTGCACACCTTTCAATAAAATGAGTGGGTAATGGTGAGTAGCTGCCTAGTAATAGGTTCAGATCCCCTCTGTATTGTATTCCCCTAAATACACAATACTATATCATCTTGTTGTATGTAAACTTGTTTATTTGGTTGTTGTCTTCACCTACTCAGAGTTATTTTCCAAGTGATATTAATGTGCTTATAAGCAATAAGTTGTACGTCAAGTTGGCAAATGAACCTGCAGATTTGTACCTTTATTTGTACCATGTCATATTATTATAATATTATTATTCCCTTGGGTTCCGAGTGGAAGATAGGGCTTCGTCGGTGGCACAGTGGTTAGAACTCTCGCCGACCATGTACATGGTCCGGGGTTCGATCCCCTGCCGACGCACACTTGGCATTTATGATTGGCCTGCAAAATTTGGGCTACCGATATCACATGCTGAAAATTCCATACCTGTACCAAAAAATACGGTGAAGAGTCAAGCTGTAATAAAAAATATCTCCACTTTCTTTTTTCTGCCGTCCGCTTCACCTGGTCCCACGATTACCTATAGTCTCTTATCTCTTCCTCACCAAACAATCTCCTCCATGTCACTCTCGCACTGACGACCCGCTCGTCGCTTCACATTTGGATTCCACTCGAGCTGTGACCTAGCGCGCGATGTCATTCGACGGTCTCCACGGCATATAACCGATCCATCTCAATTTTCTCCCTCATATTTGTTGAGTAATCAGCTGTTGGTTTGTTTGTTCCCAGCCAGAGTTTCTTGTTCCCAATTCTTTCTAGCTGGTCGGATGGCCATTTGCTCTTCGTTATGGAGGCAGCCAGCGATGGTGGCAGCTGCTGACAAAGGCCTGTTACAAGCTGTTAGAAATCCTTTTCGTTACATGCAACGTCATATAACCAATCCTATTTCTTATTTAATTAAGTCTCAAAGGTGAAAGGCCTTAAGCTGTTTGAATTGATTTTCAGGTTGTAAAGATAAGTGAAACTATAATTCGTATCAATTTAAAAGTGTGTTTAGTAAATTTTTGTAAAAGACAAACTCTACGACTCGGTTTATATTTATGTTATTTTTTTAAAAAAAAACTACGGCGTAAACACGTGAATAGCAGTTTTGAGCAAGAGAAAAAGGTTTTAACTATCATATTCCACATCGGTCGATATGCGTATATATCAAATAAAATAGACCTTAGTGGTTTTTCGTTACCTAGTCGATTTTGATCAAATGATTTTCTGTGGTAGTTTTTCTGTTCACTAGGTTGTGTTTTTTTTCTGCGTCGTCACATGCTGCTGAATATTTAGCAGGAATTAAAAAAGAATTTTCGCTTTGTTTGTTTGCATTTCAACAATGAATTCAGGCATCTTTGTTGCCATAAATAAATAGACAAATGAATACTGAATTCTACGTCAAAATATATCTTGATTAGTTGTAAATGAAAAATAATATAACTACACTGTTGGTATCGTTTTGCATTGAATTTTGATGATTGTGGTTTCCAACTTCCTCCTACTGAGGTGTATTAAGGTGATTTTTCTTTCAGTGTATATATGTACTCTGTGGGAACATTACAAATGAGAGAGAGAGAGAGAGAGTATTGACATCCAGAACTTCGGCAATACGTATTTCTAAGTCTTTCTTTTTACAACTTTTTATGTACAATCATTTATGCGTTTGTTATATTTCTGTTGGCATATTTTACCAAGATGACATTCACATTGATTGTCAGTCAATCGTATGAACACCACTCACGTAGACCAGTAGTACTCGCTAGCTAGATCCAAGTGATCTAAGCACCGGATGGCCATTTCGCTTGTTTTGTTGTCGAACTTATAAGCCGTGTACCTGGTTTGACTCGGATCTGAGACAATCAGATCAATTCAAACTGCTCAAATTCTGGCGAATTGCGAATATGATCTAATGTAATCTCCTTTTGACTGAATAACGTACAGGGAAGTACAACAATTAGAATTACCACACTTTAAAAATGCACACGAAAGTAGCAATAAGAAATGTATTAAGACCAAAATAGAACGAAATGTTCGACAAAAAGAACATCTAAATTAAGATTAGCGCGGATTTCCAGTTTCTGAATGACAAAAAGAAGCATATATATCTGCACTGTTGCAAATGATTTAATTTGTGCTATCAACAACCCCCAGGGTGACTTGGAGGAGGTTTTGTGAAGAGGAGATGAAAGCATGTGGGCACACTGGGAGCGGGGTGAAAATGTTGGCAGAAAACCGAACGCAATAGAGACGCGCAGCTGAAGCCCTATGTTCCTCTAGGAATTAAAGGATATATATATATATATATATCAACAACCCCCAGACATTGTTTCCTAACATCATGAGAACCCCAATGAAAGTGTTAACATCTTGTTTCATTCAAACCGACAATGAAAGAATTCATAAGTTCCTGTAATGTCATTGTCTGGCCGTTTCTAAATCTTTCTACTTTATATTGCTCGTAGTGGTAGGCTGTGACTGACTATGCATGCATGAAACATCCTAGCAGTATCAGTTGGTTGAGTGTCATAACCTTGCCAACTGATTGCTTGCTTACCCAATTGAACATATTGCTCCACCAAAATTCAGAGTTCAATCGTAGTCATGTAAAGTCGAAAATCATTACTCTTTTCAGTTCCATCATTTCCATTGGTCGTGACTCAAACCGATAAAAGAGGACAAGCCGAACTGCTACTCCTTACATATGTCTGCTGATAAGTAGACGGATATCACACCTGTGCTGACTGCCTGTCTGTTTTCGACATAGGACTTTGCACCGTTGTGCGGAAGTTCAAGTCGCCACACTCCATGTAGCACACAAAGCAAGAAAAGAAAGTAAAATGAAGTGCAAAATAGAAACAGTAAACAGAGGAGTGAGACAAAGAAATAGAAGTAACGAAGAACAATGTAGTTTCGTTGGAAATCATAAGTCACAAGGAGTAAATGCATCTGTGCCCTTGAGAACGATTTTAAGCCATATCACCAATTGTTTCCAGCCTTCATTGGTTTTTACCGTCCCGAGGACCCCAACCAGGAAGTCTACACCTTCCTACGTGGCTTAAACTAACTGTTGTGGATTTCATTGACTGGTGCTATGTTATGGTTTGACCGCCGCTAGCTTTTTTTCAGCCTGACCCCATGTCAGCTAACATTGCTAGTCGAGGAAGGTGATGATTAGGCATACGTAACACATGTCCTAACCATCTCAGTCGATGTGATTTCACAGCCTCATGGATTGATTTCCCCTCCTTACCTAGAACTCGATGCCTAACCTCAATATTGCTCACCTTATTATACCACTTCACACGGGAGATAGAACACTTGTGCTGAAGGTGAAGCAAGTTGGCAAATACCAAACAATTCTCTCCGTATTCCGCACTAAGACTTCGTCGACAGTTAATCCGTTAAAGCTTATGCATCAGCTATTTTACTCATCATCCATGTGTTTGGAATCCATGCGAGCTTGTTCTACAGCGTCATCCTAGATTTGCCGAGTAATATGTCAAATACACGTATATTTCTACTCTGTTCAAAAAATTCATTTTGTCAGTATCATTATTATACTCAAAATTGTGGAAAACATACTCTAGTGACAAGTCATTCCGTAAAATATTGAAGTCGACCAGAGTCATATCTATTAGTACATGAATTTTAATAATTGTAACAGTAAGCATTCTAAGTGGACAGTCTCCACACAATCGCATAAGTTCGAGTACGGATCACATATATCATATATATGTATATATATATATATATATATATATATATATATATATCATACAAGGATAAATCACCTAACAGGTTTTGAACTTGTCATAAAATCCCATCGAAAGTCATCATCAGAAACTGTAGATTATTGAACTTTGGGAAGCGAAGATATTGACAGGTGGTTATATTATTATATAACAAATTAGTGTATTTGATGATTGTTGATGTTAATTATGTTCGTTAGACCGAGACATAGCCTCAGGCTTTCTTTACAACGAAGGATTTGGTTTCATAGGGGACCTCTTTCGATTGTGATCTTAAATTTTATGAATTATGTCAAGCAGTTGTTCATTAATGTGTTTTAAAGTATTTATATTAATTACCAATAACAATTTACTTTTATTATAATATAATTTTATCTTCTAGATTGGTCATGACAATTGGGTTAGACAACTTGTATTTCACCCTCATGGCAGACTATTGTTATCCGCTTCAGATGATAAAACAATTCGAGTTTGGGATTTAAAAAATCGTCGGTGTCATAAAACACTGAATGCACATTCACATTTTGTCACTTCTTTAGGTGAGTTTTTACACACTGTCTATTTTCAATTACACAGTTATTATGTTGATTATATAATGTTGTATTGTAACAATAGAAGACAAGGGCCAGGCAAAAGATCATTTATTAAGGAAATCAACACGTATTTATATATATTTTCATGTACATTATTATAGATTATTTAAGCAGACAAACACAGTCCTCTAATTGGTTGTTTCTCACTGAAAGTTAGTCTTTCATCTTTTTGTGGCTGTTTCTTGAATGTCAGATCATCTATATGCTAACTGTAATCCGCCTACGCAAAGTCTTTGTTCTCATTTTCCTCATGACCAATATTGGGAACATAAACATTGACGTAAATTACTGTCTACCAGCTTTGGCTAGCAGCCAATTCTCACCACAATATCACTCACGTAAAAAGCAATTGAAACAAAATTGTGATTGGATTATTATTAAAATGAGTTAAATGATGCTCAGGCTTCGATCGAAGCATTCAAATATCCTAAGACTTTTAATTCATACTTCATTTATCGATCACCCTTCATAATTTCCAATCGGTTTTAAACATATTATATCTGAAGGAATTTTTTTAACTGTTGACAGGAACTGTTCCCATCAAGATAACTACATGGAAACAGCTACTGATAAGAAATAAATCTTCTCTATCTCATTGATTAAAAGGAGTACTAAGTCATCATAGAAGCATTTGAGCTGCACAAATTGATGTGTTAAAGAGACCATCAACTTGTTGGCAATATTACTTACTGAGGCTAAATTTATGTTCCATTATGTATCCTAAATCTGTCAAACGTTTGTAGGATGTAAAACAAGCAATAAAGGTTAATAAAGCAGGATTTAATGAATTCATCAAATTTCGGTAGAACTCGTCAGCTGAATACTCTACATACACGAATATATATACTTTTGAAATTACATAGGATGAAAGGTTGATATTGCTGAGATTCATGTATCCCAAACTGATGTACTTTACCAAATGTAGCTTAATCGCGGTTGTACGTAATAATAATAAATATCTTGGGTTTCGAGTAGAACAAAGGGCTTCAACAGCACATCCTGTTCTTTGAAGTTCTCTTTATCTGATTCCACAATTGCCCGTAAGCTCTCATCCCCTCACATTGTCTCTTCCAAAACGTCATTTCCTGTTCGGATTTCACTCTGGGGTCTGGCGTTAGATGTCACTCAGCTATCTCCTTAGTGTGCCCGGGTGGGTGCCCGGTACATCTTCTTTTCCTTCGGTATATTTGTTGGTTTGTTCTTAGCTGTAATTCCTTTTTGCCTGTCCTTTCTCCCCATTTGATCTTCAGTATGAATCGAAGGAAGCTCTTGATAAAAGTCTGCAACGGCCTGTTGGAAATCCTTCCTGGTGACACACCAAGTCTCCAAACCTTATAAAAACAGTGACTTGACACCAGTGTTGAAACTCCGAGTGCAGCAGATTTCTGCATGGATTACAGGGTAATGAAGGTCTGTCTTCCTTTTCTGATCGTGGCTTTAACATCAGCATCCGTGCCACACACGTAGTTATAACGATGCTGTCTAGTTGAGTGAAAAAGATGACTTCCTTTACATTTCTCCCGCTGATGTTAGTGATTGGTGCTTACTATTGTGGGTTAGATGTCTTCATGATTATGAAACTAAGTGTATAAGATTTCTAATTCAGTTTCGATTGCCTTGTTGATTGATTGAAACAAAATGTTCTGTCTCGGTGGATAACACTGACATTAGAAACGATGGGCACTGCAATCAAGCGTCACTGAAAAATGTAGGTACATCTAGGTGACGATTCCCACATAGAAGGGAATGCGTATCCTGGATTCCATTGCTAATCACCATGCATCAAATTACTTCAAGTATAAGATTTATGTTCCACAGTCATCGAGAGAAAATTTTCCGAAAGATATCGTCTGTTGAGTTGTTGTTGTTGTTGTTCTGGATGATCTAAATTGGAAAGTGTTTTAAACCTTTCCATTCTCGCACATCTTCATTGACTTCTTTTTATTTCAAAATTTCGACATTACTATGGTCTATAAAACACAGAATAATTGAGCAAAGAATATCCGTTTCGATAAATTTCTCTTCTGGCTCTACAATTACATATATTATACTCATATACACAGAATATTCTAGAATAGTCGTCATTAACAATATTTTTGTTTTTTAAATAATATTGATTCGTTAGGTAAGATCAATGGAATTACAGTTCATTAAAAATGCATAAATAATAATAATGTAATAGCAAATAGAATAACAACTAAAATTAGGGAAATTTGTACGACAATTGAGGATCATTCAAACCTAGATAACCAAGGTAAGGACAATGTCTCAAATAGCTTCTTTTGGACACATAAGTTAGGCTTCTTAATGTGGATCCCAACAGCCAGTCTCAGAAATATATAGTAGACGAACTCTTAAAGCGAAGTTAAGATTTGTTGGTTTGCGGTAAATGACTTCGAAAGCCGCCTTATTAACATCAATCTTGTGTTATGTATCCACAAAATGAGATAGAATAGCACTACGAATAGATTTTGTTTGTCCTTTACTTAACCACATAGGGTGATGTTCAGAAATCCAACGAGAAACATGCCCAATTGTACGGCCTATGCAAGTAACTGGCTCCACAGGAGCATTTAAATTGGAAGCCGAAATTAGACAGTTTATCTTTTACTCCCGAACGCAAAAGAGGAGTGGTTTTGAAGACACGGCTATATTTTCATGCTCGAAGGCACTTTCAAATTAGCATTCATATTTGGCTAAACCCTTTTCGTAGATAATGCTGAAGTTAGGCTAAAGGGACTAAATATACCCTGTTGATTATGATTCCCCAGTTTGTTAGCTCAGGCATATGTACAATAAAGAGCTATTTGTGTGCTATTCTATAAATACAGTAGGCGACTTGTTTCAAGATTGATCGACTTCTAATCCAAGACAGTGGAGAACATACATACCCTTTACACCATTGTTTTGTTTGTTTTCTTTTATTTTTTTACTTATTATCCAATTTTCTCTCTGATTTTGTACTTTCTACAGTGTGCACTTAAAGTAGTTAGTTTGTAATATAATTTGCGGGGTACTATTGCAAGAAGCTTTTTACACCTATATCAACTAATTATACTACTTGTCATACACAAACAAAACATTCTTTTCAGTGCTCTAAATGAAAACAATACCTATCATTTGTTAGTGGTGTGTGTGTGTGTGGGTGTAAGTGTCTTTGCTGAAAGAATGTCATTGTCGCAGTGTAATGTTACGCCTACCTACACACTAATTATTAGTATTTTTTCAACGCAAAGATTTTTCATTCTTCAGTTCTATGCGTAATTGATTTTCTCTGTATTAAATTGGCTTACCTGTGGACTTCAATACCTATAAAGTAGTTTATTGTTCCAACCAGAAGACATCTTCCATAAAATTGTTCCACGGTATATATAACAACCGTAAGAGAAATACTTAAAAAACCGCATACATTTATTCCCCTTGATGAATAAGAATAAAGGAACGGCAACAGTGGTTTATGCAGAATAATATGGTACCATCATTGTTTATTTCGCTGACTTCTCATCACTTGCTTACAGCCTTAATAAACTATTATTACGCTAATGTGCAGAAAAATTTCAACATACTTGCAAATTTTACATGATGTCAGTTGACCATAGGTTCCGGAGATAGTGAACAGTGCTCAGAAAATTGCGCTTATACGGATGTTACACAGACAGCTCAAGTTTAAGCAGAGCTAATGTATGTATACAATAGTAAAGGAGTTGCGCAATCAAAACGAGAGATGCGTAAGATGATGAGTGACTCATAAATTGGGTAACAATGTACTGAGTTCAACTCAAATCATAGAAACAAGAGACAAGCAAAATTACACCACATCAAAGCGGATTGTGCGTGTGTGTCTGACGCTAAAGCCGAAGATAATGTATTCAGATGAAAGAGAGAAACAATGAAGACATCCAGTTACCAGGACGGGCAAGGAATGATTGATAACTGCTTCTTTCTGAACACAGATAAATCGGGTTTTGAGCGTTTGATAGGAATTGCTTCGGAAAACTTGAGGAGAATTCAGCTTTTTTGTCTATTGATAATTTAAAAGGATTTCGCGACTTCCACATCATGGGTACAAGAAGATCTGGTTCAAATATAAGCTGATCGACGTCGCAAATCAATATCTCATTACATCAACGTCATATTGCAAAAGCCTCTCTGAAAAGCATCAAAGAGCATTGGAAGCCCTCAAAAGTAATGAAAAAATCGTCATATTGCGACCTGACAAAGGCTCAGGAGTGGCGCAGATGGACAAACATGACCTCATCGCAAAGATGAAAACTGTGCGAAATGACCCGTTGAGTTTTAAAGTTGACGACTACCAGAAAGATAAGACAGATGCAATTGAAAAACGCATCACAAACGTACTCAATGATCTTCTAAAGAGAAAATTAATTGACAACACTACGTACAGTAAATTGAAACCCCGAGGGTCCCGTTCACCATATATGTATGGCTTTCCAAAGGCAGACAAAATACAAGTCCCCCTGACACCTATACTTACGATGATCAGCTCACCCCAACTTAAAGTTGCTCGTTGGCTTGCAGAGGTGTTGGAACCCATTCGTCAACGGCCAACTGAAAGACTCATTTCATTTCGCCGTAAGTGTGAATCACATGAACGTTTCAAGTAAGTTCATGGTGTCATTTGATGCAACCTCCTTGTTCACAATAATCCCAATCAATGAAACTATTGAGATCATTTGTCAACAGTCTGATCTTCTCCCACTCCTAGAGTCGGAATTCAAACGCTTACTGGTAATATGTACCATGGGTGTGCAATTCCAGTTTGATAACACTTTTTACCAACAAATAGATACTGTAGCTATGGGAAGTCCACCTAGCCATGTTTTAGCGGATATCTTTATGTCAAATCTTGAGAAAACAAAGTTGAAGCATGCAATTGACAGAACAACTTCCTGGTGCCGATATGACGATGGCACATTTGTAGTGTC